TAAACCAAACCAATCCTTAAAAAAAGGTTTCCAGTTCAGCCTAAAATTTGAACAACCACGACCCACAGTTTTGAGGTGTGGAGGAATGAAACTGGTTTCGGTCAAGTGTAGATATGCCTCTAAGTATTGAGATAAAAAAATTTTCTGAGGTGGGTGCATCTTATGGTTTTATGCCATTTTTGATGTGGCTATTCATGCTATACTTCAGCTTAAAAAACTATTCTAAAGGTGTTGAAGTAATTCTGATTAACAGTCCTTTTTTATTAAATGTACTCCCTTGATATGTAGAAAGCAGTTAGATCAAATTTTCTTCTTAGTGCACAGCATTTTACACAGTTTGTTTTTCAGTATAACTTGCCCCAGCATGCCAAATTTCATCATCTTTCAACTTCAACTACAGCTGACTGCGGAATGTGCATAAAAGTAAGCAGCTTTCCTTGATTTGAATTATTCATAACGTTAAGCACATTCCTAATGTCCAAACTGATATTTCAGGATTCATATAATACCAGGAAGATTTCAATGACGTAAGTGATGGAAAAGAATTTGTGTGTGTGGGCAACAGTGCCATATTTTACATTCATTGGTCTTATTATGGCTTGAATATTAAATACAGAAATTCCTCAAATTGATCTAGCACTGGTAAATGCAGGAGGACATGACTAGAATAAATTTATTATTGAATAATGTGATGAGTTCTTAACTTCTTTCAATAATGTTAAAATCAAATTGGAATCAAACCAACACAACGTGGGGAAAGATAAAAGCAATATTTAGCTTGTAAAGACATTAGGATTTTTGGAAGTCGAAGAGATGAAAAATTAGCATACGCCTTCGCCGGGAAACGAACCACGGACCTCTGAAATACCGGCTCAGTGTGCTAACCACTACACCACGAAAGGCACTCTAGGGAGGCGGGAGAAATACCTTATATCCTTCCCCTTTTAAAGGGCGACTGGGGTTTTTAGGGAACCCAATCGCCAAATCCTGGGTGAGGAAAATCATCATCCAATACCCTTTTAGTTCGGGCGCCACTGTAGAGACATTAAGCATTTTTTTGGAAGCAGATCAGATGAAAAATTAGCAAACGCCTTCGCCGGGAATCGACCGCTGGATACCAGCCCAGTGTGCAACCACGAAGGCACGCCAAGAAGGTGGGAGAAATACCTTATAAACTCAATTAATTATTTATAATTAACTTTAATTTATAAAATTCGCTTTTCTTTCACATTAATTCCAAACGAACAGCCTCTAGCAAGCTTGAAAGGAAAATTTGAGATCATTTTCAACGGGAATAAGATTAGAAACAGTTTTCTGTCGTTCTCATTTAATTAAAAACTGAACGTACTTTAAATGAGGGCCAGAGCCAGTGCAATCGGTGACACTGCACCTGTTGGGAAAACTCAAAATTTAGTGAGCAAAAGAATTTAGAAGCCGCAGAGGTTGCACCGGATGGCAAATGTTCTAACGCCGGCCGCCCTTGTTCAAATTAATATGCATAATGATAACATGTAATGTCACTGAAAGATATAATATAAAAGTTGCTGCTGGGAAGAGACATGCTAAATAAATAAGGAAACATAATCAAAGGATTAAGGTACACAAGCAAAGGATAATTTTTTAGGAGAAGTTGGCTTGTAATTTCAGTTCACATGGGAGAAATTCCCTCCTTTGTCAATTCATTTAGCGATCGAAAATCAAATCTGAGAATGAATTGCACTGCTCAACGTTTTTATTTAGAGATCGAAATTCTCTATATTTTTGTTTTATCGAATATTATGAACTAAACACATTTAAATGGAACTTTCAAAACAGGCACAATCAGAGAAATCTGCAGAGAAATTCAGTTTTTGAGTAAGCTATAAAATAAATTATATTTCCTTTACACACAGAAAAATAAGCTTACTACTTAACACTCTAAAATTACTAAGTAAAACAAATTTCCTAAATAATATTTGAACAAATTATATAAAAATTAAATAGTTTTTCGTAAAATAAAATTTGTTTTATTTATTTTTGAAACGAGGTGCATTTTAAAAGAAATATTTTAGCATTATATGGCTATTAAGAAATTGCCATATAATGCTAAAAATCGTGACCATGTGAAATCAAGCCTGGGATTTAACATACATTAGGTTATTTCAAAAATAGATTTTAAAGTAATTACATATATGTACATGATAAAACGTTTTTTAGCTGAATCAGAAAGCTTGTATGATTTTAATTTTATTAAAAAGTTGTCTTATTATTTCAGCATATCTTATTGTTTAACAATTATACTTTTGTCGGCTCCCACCAGGATATAAATTAGTTTAACGTATAAAAGAACATAATTCTTGACTTAAGGGGAGAGCTTTTGGCTGTCACCGTTGATCGTCCCAATGTGTAAGTCGAAGCCCTGTCTTATGAATAACTCATTTTAAATACTTAAGTTTTTACTTTTAACGCTTGTGTTTTGTTTATCCCGCACGCAACAGAGTTTGTTATTACACGAACTATCTAAATTGTTAGGCTGAATCGAATAAAAAGGATTGTTTTAAACTTTCTTAAAATTATCTGAGGGTATTTCATAATATATTAATTGTTATAAATTGTTTTTAAAAAAGTGTATTTATCTTAACAAGCACAAATGACGACGGCCAAATTATAATCTAAAAGCCACATTTCCTGCAAATTTTTAAAGCTAAAAGAAAATTTAAAATTTATTGTATACTTCCTTTTTTCCTTAACGAAAATGTCGTACTATATATGCAAAAATCCTTGGTTTTTTATTCCCCCCCCCCCCCCATAAAAAAAACGAAAGTTCTTTCGTTAAAAACTTAAGCATACCAGCTTAGAAACATTTAATTTCCGACCGCCGTATTCAAGACAAGTTTCACATATCTCTAACTTTTTTCACTAAAACTAATTACGTAAAAAAAAAAAAAAAAATATGCAGACCTACATTCATCAGTATTTCCGCTTATCTAAGGATAAAAAGAAAAAGCACGCGACGCAGTCGACGATTATCTTCAATCTGTAGAATGCTTTGAATTACTCTGGATTACTATACGCAACGCTACAAAATAAAATTTACCATGTACCCCAACTGCTCTCGAAACTTACTCGTTGTTGCATCAGTAGAATCCCCGGCAAGCCGGTATAGGAATGCGTTCTACAGTGTGTATGGACCGTTACCGTTACGTCTCCGTTTAATGATACAGCGGTGTCTAGCTTAGTAATGCAAAATACAGAACACTGTCTCAGAAATCTAGAAATTCCGAGTATGCAGCTAGATATTCTGAGAATAATAATTTAGTCAAAATTCCTAGAAATCTGTATAAACGTATTATTCAGAAGAAAACATTTCAAAATGCCTATTTTCCCTACTTCCGGTTCATCTGGATGAAGTAGTTGAAAAAAATAGCCTATAAAAGTAAATGTTTGCTATGCCCATATATACAGGAATAAATATAATTTGGAATATTATGTTTGATTCATTTTGGGAATGCTGAAAAGGGTTAAGCAAGTAAACTTTTTCTTCTCCGTATCTACGATTTTTATTTGCGTGCGAAAAAAGAAGATCCCAGCATTATAAACATACATAAATTGTCAATAATTTCGTTTATAATGTTCAGCAAGTATAAAAGTATAACATACGTAAATAGAACATAAAAGCAAAAGAATTTATAAATAACAAATTTCTTATACCGTCTCGTTTGCTTTGAGCTCGATTTTAACTTGCTTTTTATAATGAATATTTCATTTTGTGTATAAACCAATTATATGAAATTTCTCGTGAACTAAGCATAGTTCAAAATCTTTCTTATTTAACATACAGCAAATTAAGTCTCATGCCATATAGGTAAACGCTAAAGGTTTGAACTTCAAAGCAAGAAATAGCGATACTGAAAACTCTTAAAGAAAACAAGTCACAAATCCAAATTCCTGACCCAGAACACCAATGACGGGGGAAGGGGGGGAATCTTTACTCTTTGGTATGTTTAAACAATAGTCAAGTAGCTATTAAGTGTTACTCCCTACTACAGAAATATGCATGCTACATCTTTATTTTTTAAGACAAAATTAGAGCCGAGTTTTATGGAAATTACGTATTAGTGATGCTAAATATAATTTCATCCGGAGCTTGCACCTGCTTAACATAGACAGAATGGAGTACAGAACTGTAACGGAAGTATGACGTTTTAGCCAGTTTAGCTCTATTGGCTTACAGTACGTCCGAAATTATTCCTTTTACGATTTCAGACAATTTTGTTCCGTTAGTAACAATTTAATATTATGTACAGTAAAGTACAATTTTTAGCTATCAGTACTTTATGTAGTAAACGCATCATTCATTTTCACGATACAGAATTTAAATGTTCTGTTATTCTCAATAACACAAATATGGCTACTACCACTCTTAATAATGGGCTTCGAAAATGTTTCATTACTTTATCTGTTTTGCAGCGTCTCACAATAATAAAAAAAATGTCAAACATTTTATTGTCTCCCTGAAAATATAGCACATATGTGTATCTATTCTAAATATGCAGAACAGCTGACAGCAATTATAGCAAACATTTCAAGGTTAATTATTTGATATTGTAATAGTGCATAACTGGAAGGGCTTTAGAGGCTGAAAGAGAGTTATCTTTACTGCACGGCACTTAACATCTGATTAAAGTATTTCCTTTTTTTAGATCATAAGTTCTAGATGTTCAAGATCATATTGCGTTTCCGCATTCTCATTTCTTGTTATTCTGTTACTTAATACTAATGCTCGTGTGACTGATGCATATTTCGAGAAATTAGTATATCTGATATGTTGTCCAGCTGCAAAAGCACGTTTAATTGGTGGTGGAGGGAAATGGTCTATCTGAGACTAGCCGGCTTAAAATATGAGCCCGCCAAACATGTGTGCGTTAAAAGTTAACAGAACATAAAGAAAATGCCTGGTTCAGGAATATAAAACTCATTCCCACATTCATTACAAATGCATAAAGCAAATAAGAACAAACCTGGGCTGCCGATCAGAGGCGAAAATAATCCTTAATGCGAATCAATGATTCCGAATGATGAGCGCCTGCAATTATTCACCAGAGTACCGCCGGCACAGATGGAAACCATCAATGGGAATGATGCGTCTAGCACGCTGGCGATCGGATGGTTAAATGCTCTAGCTAGCAGCGGCATTGTGATGAGTTAGTATCGAGACTGTCGCCAAGTTCTCGCCAAAAAATATCAAACGATAGGATTGCTGGTAATCTGGCCGGGAAACAAATGGGCTTCAGAGGGAACGCGATCTAGATACGTCATTTTTTAAGTGACCAATTCTTACGTCATTCGACGGATAACCACTCCATCTTCTTCAAAACAGTAAGTCGCTAATGTGTAGGTAGGAGACATTTTTGTGTATTCATTCACAAAAGCGTAATAATTATTCACACTTGATACTCCCCGAAAGAAAAGAAAGAGCTTTAAATAAATTCTTAATAGGAAAATGTTTACACCTGGAGTCTGAAATAGAGCCGTGGCATACTAATGCTATGTTAACGAGTGCAGTAAATTTTTCGTGTTATTTCTTTTGTGATTATTATGCTAGATTACGAAATAAATCCGGTTAAAACTGCGTTTTACGAAATAACAATAGTGAGACATTTCATATGCAAAATATTTGAATTCTGGAAGAGCAAGTGTATAGCATGTTACCTTTCTCGAGAGTTTTTTTTCTAAAAAATTATAATGGAATTTATTTTAAACTACAGCTAACTTGGAATAACATGGTTTTGAACATCGCGTCTTCATCTGCAGTCTTTGTTATCACAGTTATGCATGGTTAAGGAATAACCAATCAGAGATGACTCAGTTTAAAAAAAATTAAACAATAGGCCTAAATCTTTTCTGGAGTAATTTTAGCCTATCATAATTCAGTATATTTAAAAGATAGGATATTTGGACAGAAGTATTGATATGTTAAAGTGAACTATCGTATTGAGAGATTTACTGAAATATGCACCACATTACAAAAATATTTTAATATAAGACAATTAATTTTTCCTTTGTAACGTTTATTATGAGATTCTAACTATTTTAAATTTTACCTTGACCCTTTTCTTATTTCTTTTACATGCACAAAAGCCCGCTCCAAAAGACTTATATTAACTGATGTGAAGATGATGTTAGGCAGGAAGAGATTGTCAGTAGCAGTTGCTGATATTTTAACGTTTCGAAAAAAAGAAAAAAAAAGAGAGAGAGAGAGAGAAAGAAGAAGGAGAGAAAAAGCTTTCTTTTGGCGGCAAAAAGTCGCTGCGCAGTAATTACATTCTATCGCGTCTTCGCAGATACGTTAGGTATGGGAAAATTCTTTCAGTGGTTAGGGCTTATTCTCGAGACTTTAACTCTGTTAATAGTCCAGTCGTAGAATAATTCCCACTTCTTATATCATCAAGTTGATTTTTTGTACTTGATTTTTTTTAATTCGTACAGTAAGAAACAGAACAAACAGAAACTAAGCAATTTAATTATATTACAATGGTCTTGAAATCTGAATACTAATTTCGAGGAATGTAAAAATATTTTAAACAATTCCCAAATAGTTTTTATTATAAGAATGAGGCTATATGTATTGTATATGCATATTGCGCATGAATCCAAAATTTATGCAAGAACTTTTTTTAATTTTAAGAAAAGAAAATTTAGTATGAATAAAATTTGCGTTACTTATTATTTTTTATCATTAACAAAGTTAAATAGGCAAGATAAACGCCGAAGTTTGTTTAGTATTTTATTTCTAAAGTTAATGAAAATAATGCTTTGTAATTAATACAAGATTTTAATCAACAACTTTGCCGTATCAATAATAGAATATCCTTTGTTTGAAATCATTGGAATAATATTAGTTCATCACCAAAACATCATTGCTGAAAAGTAAATTTAAACCATTAATATTATTTTTATCATTATTCTGATCACGACAAAGCAATTTGTGACCTATATTTTTTATTTAAACCACAGCTAAATTCAAAGCATAAAAAAAAAATTCCTAGAGCTTACAGCAAAGTTTTATTAATTACACTCTATCCATTATATCAAAACTACACAAAATCATAGGATTTTTGAGGACAATTAAAATTCCATCAAGCTTGGTCAGCTGATCCAACATGAACTTAATATCCACTAAAATGAAAGCTTAGGTTTTCTTCATATCTTAATTTTGAATTATCCTGTTTAATGAATATGGTTACGTGCATACAAAATGACAGGGAAATAATATAAATAGTATAAACCTGCAATACTGGTTTCAAATATGAAAAAAAATGTCAAGTTTCGGTAAACTTAAATCAGCTAATTAAATTCTTTCTGCTTTGATAAGAAAAAGAATAATAAATCAGTAAGTATTCACACCTAACGCATCAAGTGTAGACTTTAGTCATAAATTAAACATAAACCGCAAGTAAATCTTATATGGTACGTCCAAACTGCGTACAATATAAACAATACAAAAATTATAATGAACGTAGCTTTCAAGTAGTTAAAGAACATTTTCAAAGCATTGAAATTACAAACTATCATTTTACGAGTTATATGCGATGCTAGAGTTATCATATGAAAGAATCAGGGAATACTTTTTATATTTGAAGTATCCTTATTAAAGTTCTGTATAATATGTAACAAAATTTATTTACTGTAAATATTTAACAAGGGATCTTCTTTCTTTCATACAGCTTTTTCTCGAACACTGATTTCTATTTTAACAAATGAGGTATAAATAGAAACAATAGAACTTATTCATCAGAAGGCAGTTCAGTCGACTATTTCTATTATATTTCCTTATATTTTTAAATCAAGATTTGGAGTAATATATGAATTTAAATATAACCATCTAAATTACTTATGGAAAGATGTATGCTATGTTAAAATAAAAAGTACTAAGAATATGAAAAAGTAAATTTCAAACGATAAAGTTGTTTCTATGTGTAACTCAAGTACCTGCGCAGTACAAGTTTTATAATCTGAATTTTACTTTATAATTGGAATTGAAATTTATAATTTGAATTTTCAAATTAAACTTTTGAGAACTGGCCGTAAAGGGAAAAGAGTTTATTAAGATACCGGGGTTTGTGTGATGCAGGAAGGAGGGAAGCTGGAACAAGATGCAAAAATGTTAGGAAATAAGTGTGTGTGTGTGGGGGGGGGGGTAAATTGAGATGAGAACAAGTTAGTCAGCCAAAAAACAAATAATTCGTCATCTACTACAATGTCGCATTGAGAAAAGAAGGAAACTGACGACTTTGAAGATGATGTCAGGTTCCTACATTCAAGCTTTTGACTATTAGAAAACATTTGCCCCTCTCAATCGATTCGTTGATATAGGCCGATTTCCAAAATCATTTATGTGACTCAGAAGATGATGTGTCAAGAAGTGACAAAGAGATGGAGGGGGAAATGAACACTTGCTCCAAAAACAACAGCTTAAATAAGTCTGTATAGCTAAAAAAAGTTGCAGTTGCATGTTATTTACAAACAGTCATATTCAGGCGCGAGACAATAAATAAATTGAAAATGACAATTTTATAACAATAAACTAAATATTTCAAGTTATGAAGAATGTTGCCTGCAGCATTTAATAATGTAGTAGTTTCTATGTGTTGAATAGTAATATATTAAATTTATTTATCTTATTTACAAGTACGTCATTACATGTTTTTCTTTTAATAATTAAAATATTTTTGTATTTTCAGTGATTATGTTAATTCTAAAAGATAAAATCTGTGTTTCTATCTATTTTATCCCTCATTCTATCCGTATTCTCTTGTTAAATTGATCTTTCTTGAAAAAAGGATATAAAACTCGAACTGGAAAAATCAATATTAAGCAGTGTGCTTATTACTTTCTAAACATCTCATTGAAGGTTTCAAAAATAAAACTAAAAACTGTATTTTTAAATACTTTGGTATTTATAAGTTATTAAATGAAATACGAGAAATTTTAAAAATAATGTTCAAGTTGTTCTGGTAGCGTTAAAAACTTCAGCTCAATATGATTACGTGACAGATTGAAACCTCATATAAACATAAAATGTGATTATGAAGAGTTAATCTTTAAAAAAAATTATGGAAACAAATGTGTAAAGATACAGGAAGCTAAAGAGTAGTAACGCTAGTTAAAACTTAGCATTTTTGATGCAGCATACCTTTCCTTTACTGCTGACGTTTTCCAGGAAATACCTAGAATTTTTTTAATTTCAAAATAAAACTAAAAACTGTATTTTTAAATACTTTTGTATTTATAAGTTATTAAATGAAATACGAGAAATTTTAAAAATAATCGTTCAAGTTGTTCTGGTAGCGTTAAAAACTTCAGCTCAATATGATTACGTGACAGATTGAAACATCATATATAAACATTAAAATGTGATTATGAAAGAGTAATCTTTAAATAAAATTATGGAAACAAAATGTGTAAAGATACAGGAAAGCTAAAGAGTAGTAACGCTAGTTAAACTTAGCATTTTTGACTGCAGCATACCTTTCCTTTACCTGCTGACGTTTTTCCATGGAAATACCTAGACGAATCGAGCTAACATAAAGAAGTGTGAAATGTCATCCAAACCTATATAATAATTTCATCATTAATAATTAGCAATATAGTGCAATAATAGCACCCTTCGAAGGAATATCTTAGAACCCCGCAGTTTAATTACTAGTTTTCTAACACTTGTTTTTCCGTGCGAGTCCTGGTCTGCAGCTATCTAGATGTGATTTTTGAATACTTCTAAAATTTAAAGTAAAATGCGCTTTATTTATTTATTTATTTATTTATTTATTTTTTAGTATTGCACAGTGCCAGGCCAAAGTAAATAATTGAATAAGATGTCAAGTATTGACTTTTTATTAACATTTTTAAACATGACCTAATTATCAAATAATTTTTATGAGGTGATATATATATAAATGCATACACATATGTGTATGTGCGTGTATCGACGAGACCTTTAGATATTTTTTTTTAATTTTAATTCATATGCTGTATATCCTTTTATTACTGTCCATGATCACGTTTATAAGTTCATATGTATGTATACTTATGAAACCAAAAGCAGATATTACGCTATAGAATTAATCAGGAAAATAATTTAATATTCACCTATATTTTTAATATGTACTT